GGACACTATGGCAATCCACCTAACCTGCACGTCTTTGGACTGTGGAAGGAAACTAGAGTGGCCTGATGGATACTCACACAGACATGGGGAGAATGTGCAAACTCCGTACAGACAGTCATCTGAGGGTGGAATCAAACCGGAGTCCCTCACACAATACCCTCACAGGTGAAACCCTGGCTGCATTTGGTGGCCTTATTCTATGCTGCCACTACTTTTTGAAAAATTTATTCATTTTGTAGGAAGTGGGCATTACTGGCTGGCCAGCATTTATTGCCTGTCCCTAGTTGTCCTTGAGATGGTGGTAGTGAGCTGTCTTTTTGAACCACTGCAGTCCATCTGCTGTGGGTTGACCTGCAATGCCATTAAGGAGGGAATTCCAGGATTTTGACCTAGTGACAGTGAAGGTGATATATTTCCAAGTCAGGATCATGGGTGGCTGGAGGGGAACTTGAAGCTGGTGGTGTTCTCATATATCTGCTGCCCTTGTCCTTCTAGATGGAGGTAGTTGTGGGTTTAGAAGGTGCTGTCTGAGGATCTTTGGTGAATTTCTGCAGTGCATCTTGTAGATAGCACACACTGCTGCTACTGAGCACTGGTGGTTGAGGGAGTTGATGCTTGTGGATATAGTGCCAGTCAAGCGGGCTTGCTTTGTCCTGGATGGTGTCAAGCTTCTTGAGTGTTGTTGGGGTTGCACTCATTCAGGCAAGTGGGGAATATTCCATCACACTCCTGACTTGTGCCTTGTAGATGGTGGACAGGCTTTGGGGAATCGGGGTGTGAGTTACTCGCCACAGTATTTCTAGCCTGTGACCTGCTCTTGTAGCCACTGCATTTAATTACTTTGACCACTGCTGCTGGTCTTTGAGGTCCACTTGGCATCTCTAACATCCACCTCACTTGCTCACTAGAATAGTTTTGTCGCCATTACCCATTGAGAGTCACAGATCTAGGACTTTTTGTTATTATTCTGACTGAATCCTTTTGACATTATAGGATATGCTGGATCAATCAGTGTGGGGTCTGTACCCTGGAAAATTCCTCATACTTTCTTCCAACACATCCACTAGAGGATTCCTGCAGATTTTAACACACTGCTTCCCAAAAGGCTTGCCTGCTGTCCAATTCCCCTTATACTGCATTCTTAAACCCATCATAGTAATACTGAAACCAGCAGCAGCAGTAAACCACATGGTTATTCAGCTACCTCAATGCCATATTCCTGTTTTTGATGCTTTTAATATCTAAAAAAAAAATCTATTTCTTTCTTGAATATATTCACATCTTTTCTGTATAATTTGGAGGAGAGGGGAGTATTTTGCTTGTCCAAGGATTTATATGTCCTTCCTTTGCATGTTGTGAATCTCTTATTTCCTATCCAAAACACAAGATTGTCTTAATTGGGCCAAAGAGTGCACAAATCCTTTAATACATGTGGCTTTTCACCCAGGATGAAAGGCTTGTGTCTGGTTGTGGTCACAGACAGGTTTTGTCCAGGATTGTTAGTATCAGGCATCTTTCTCTATCTTGTCTCTATAGTGACAATTTTAACTTCATCTGGGTCTTGCCCACCTGAATGGAGGAACAATCCCTGGATATCAGTAGGGCTGTCAGTACTGGAAGCAGATCTCCCACTCTTCAACAAGGTTCTGCATGGTAGACTGGTTAGTAAGGTTAGATCAGATGGGATCCAGGGAGAGCTCGCCAATTGGATACAAAATTGGCTTGACAGTAGGAGACAGAGAGTGGTGGTAGAGGGCTGTTGTTCAGACCGGAGACCTGTGACCAGCAGTATGCCACTAGGATTGGTGCTAGGGCCACTGTTGTTTGTCATTTTTACACACAATTCGATTAAGTATATAGGAGGCATGGTTAATAAGTTTGTGGTGACACCAAAATTAGTGGTATAGTGAAAAGTGAAGAAGGCTATCTAAGAGTACAACAGGATCTTGATCAACTGGGCCAGTGGACTGAAGAATGACAGATGGAATTTAATTCAGATAAATGCGAGGTGTTGCATTTTGGTAAGACAAACCAAGGCAGAACTTACACAGTTAATGGTAGGGCCCTGGGGAATGTTGTCAAACAGAGACACCTAGGGCTGCAGATACATTGTTCCTTGAAAGTGGCATCATAGAAAGAAAAGGTGGCGATGAAGTCAAGAGTACTAAACGCCTTCAGTCAGAGTGCTGAGTACAGGAGGTTGGGGCATCGTGTTACAATTGTAAGGCCACAATTGGAGTACTGTGTACAATCTGATCACCCTTCTATATGAAAGATATTGTTAAACTGGAAAGGGTGCAAAAAAGATTCACAAGTATGTTACTGAGACTGGAAGGTTTGAGTTATAAGGAGAGGCTGGACAGTCTGGGGCTTAGGAAGCTGAGGGGTGACCTTATAGAGGTTTATAAAATCATGAAGGGCATAGATAAGGTGAATAGCCAAGGTCTTTACCCAAGGAAGGGGAGGTGAAAACTAGAGGGATTAGGGTTAGGTTAGAGGTGAAAGATTTAAAAGGGATATGAGAGACAACTTTTTGACACTCCCCACAGAGGGTGGTGCATATACGTAATGAACTGCCAGAGGAGTGGTAGAGGCAGTTACAATTACAACATGTAAAAGACATTTGGACAGGTACATGAATAGACAAGGTTTAGTTGGAATGGGCCAAATGCAGACAAATGGGACTAGTTCAGTTTAGGAAACCTGGTCGGAATGGACAAGTTGGGCCAAAAGGCCTGTTTCCATGCTGTATATCTCTATGATTCTGATTGGAGTTGATAGAGAAAATCTCTAGCAAGTGTTCATACGTCAAAAATAATTCACAAAGATCCTGAAGGAGTAAATAAGATCTGGAATGTTCCACCTTGAAGGATGGCGAAAGTTCAACCACAAATATTAATGTCCAGACAACATGAGGCCAATTAACATACAGAATTGTGAACAAACAGTTAGCATTATTGGGCATAGCTCTTTCAAATAACCACTATCGGCCAAAATGCCTTTTTCTACCATTAAGTTTCTCTGACCTTAGAGTCAGAAGTTGGGATGGTCGCTGTTGACTGTGCCATGTTCAGCACTACCTTGACTCCTCAGATACTGAAACAGTCCATGTCCACGTACAGCAAGACCTGGGCAATATCCAGGCTTCGGCTGAAAAGTGGCAAGTAACGTTCATCCCACACAAATGCCAGGCAATGACCATCTGCTATGAGACATTCCAAGAGAGAGCCCTTTGACATTCAATAACGTCACCATCACTGATTCCCCACTATCAGCTTGGTGGGGGGTTGCTATTGACCAGAAACTGAACTAGCCATATAAATGCACTGGCTACAAAATCAAGTCAGAAGCTAGGAATCCTGCATCAACTGTGCAAAGCCTGTCTACAAGGTACAAATACTCCCCACTTACCTAATGGGAGCAGCTCCAAAAACACCCAAGAAGCTAGACACCATCCAGGATAAAGTAACCCATCTGATTAGCACCACATCCACAAACATCTACTCCCTCCACTAATGATGCTCAGTAGCAGCAGTGCATATCATTTACAAGATACACTGATGAAAAAAAAAATCAGGATCCTTAAACGGCACCTTCCAAACCCACAACCACTTTCATTTCAAAGGACAATGGCAGCAGATACATGCAGGTTCCCCCAAAGCCACTCACCACCCTGACCTGGGAATATATTGCTGTTCATTCACTGTCGCTGGGTCAAAATCCTGGAAATCTCTCCCTAACAGCACTGTGGATCCATGCACATGCCTTCAGCAGTTTAATCGGGATGCTCATCACCACCTTCTCAAGGGCAACTGAAGATGGGCAATAAATGCTGGTCCAGTCAATAACACCTACATCCCGTGAGTTAATTTAAAAATTCTATGAATTTACTTGCAAAATGAGATGCAACTTAGAATTTGATCTGTCTTGTAAACACTGCATGTCATGGAGCCCTGGGATATGGCCTATCTGCAAAGACAGAGATCCCCAGTGGAGAGCCATCTACAAAGGGGCCCTTCCCTTTTCCACTGGGGATCTGGGGTGGAGAATGCTGCAGGCAGCAGTCTCACACAATCATAGATTAAGTAAATTCATTTGGTGTTAGGCCACATGTAGTTTGTGTGGCCTGGATGAAAACTGTGAATCACGTTTAAGTTGAATGATTCCATTTTAGCCCCTTTCTCATTTATTGAAGGGTCTGTTCCTTAGATTTTGTTTGAAATTCAGCTACATGTACCTGATTTACTGTCATCTCATGCTGGGAGAGGTGGACAGGTCAGAGGATCTGCCCCTGGGTCCGAGGGTCATTGTTCCTGGCTGTCTGTCCCTCTTTTATGGTTATGTCTGCGCTCCAGTGTCCCTGCAAAGGGAGTATGTGGTGCTCAACAGCACAATAGAGGCTTTTAGAGACCAGTGGGCACCACAGGGGCTGGGATTCATCATCGCTCTGAATGATGTTTCTTTTAATTTAGTGAGTTTCCATTGTAATTTTATATATCAGTTTAATTATTAATTTGTGGAGGTTTTTATTGACAAAGCCCCAGCAGAGGCTGTTTAATTATTTTTATTTGACTTTCTTTTTAAAAGAGTAGAACCCATTGGACTAGTTTTCCTCACTCATGATTTATCGAATCCCATTTGAAATATCCAGCTCACATTTCATCTTTTCCTGTCCTGAAACGTGCCTGACCGGGCTGGGAAAGACTTTTTGGGAGGGGAGGTGAATAAAATATAATCTAAATCACAAGGAAACAAATAGATTTGCCTGAAATTTCTAGCTAATAGTCTTGCAAAATATCACTGTACTAAATAATTACAAAGAACTGGGTCAGATTAGAAATTACCTATTTAAACATTTCCAAAAATATTAAAACCGCCCGTAACCTTAAGAGTTTGAACGGTTTTCTCGTTTAAATCCACTACTTACAGATTGCAATTCCTAGTGGCTGCCATGTCTTTTTTTTTGAAACATCAGAATCATGTGACGGATCCGGGAGCTCTCCCTGCCACAACTGAACTCAATCTGCTTTCTCTTCCTGATTACAGCATTTTCGCGGTCACCGGCTCGGGAGTAACACTGGGATCCGACCGGTTTTTTTCAGTCATTCGGAATCAGGTTGGTTTCCCTTTTCTTCCCCACCCAGTCCACTGACTGAAATAACAAAACATGCAACGACACACGTTGTTAGGATATTTACAAATACCCTAATTCTCATAAGGGTAGAAAGAGAGAGGGATGAGGAAATGGGTTGAAATTGACCAAGAAACTGAGCAGTCGCGGCTTTGCTCTGCAGCTGTTTTGGTTTCTACTTAGTTGACTGGGGTGAAGGAGGTGGATAGGAGATGCTGGAGTCTGATTACTGATGGTGTGAATATTGAAAAATATTGGAGGTCAGCGTTTGCAGATTCTTTCTGGGCGGAGTAATCACCGTTTCGTATCCTTGAATCCGTCAAATAAATTGAAAATTTCTTAGAATTATTTATTTCGGTGTCGCTTCTTTTATATTTGGTTGCAATGACTGTTTAAAATTAGGAAACTGTTACAGGCGGCTTACGATGACGCGGAGCTACCTCCAATAAATTCAAAGTCTGTCTGAACGAGGAAACGCTGCACGTTTCATATACTGTTTCACTGCAATATTTGATTCATTGGAGAGGGTTTAAGTGTCACTCTAACACCCGATTAGGCTCATTTAAGCGTTCTGTGAATAATTAAGACTAAACATTAAAATTTGTGATAGTTGATTTTGAAAGTAGGCGGAAGTGAAAAACGAAGGATGTGTTTTGCACCATCGTTTTTCTAACCTGTTGGATACGCTAAAGAGTTACATCATGGATATGACGCGTAATAATGCTAAAAATATAATGCAGTGGCAGCGTGATAAAAGGAATAGGTTATGAGTACAAAATGCTACCTGGTAGCTGATAGTAAAGTCACATTTATTTTCAAGCAAGATCTAGGTATTTGTGTGTGCTTATGCATCAATTTCGTGAGCGGGCACTCGGTCATTTAGCGAGCACTTGGATTTGGACACGACCTGCCAACTACATTTTGACCACATTATTTCTGTAAATAAAGGGGTATAGCCTCTATATAATTTGGTGTGTCAAAAATTGTCAAAAATCTTCTTTCATTTTTTAAAAAAGTAGAATTTGAGAAATCGAGCCAGATCAGCTTATGGTAATATTTCTCCTGATGTAGTGTTTGGATTTGAATTACTAAATGTGTTATGTACAGGCAGAATCGATATGTTATAGTGTCTAAACTAAATTATTTGTGACTGAGATTGTTTGGTTAGTTTTGGTTAAATGTTAGCTCTTTTGTAAATTCATTGGTAACTTGATTGATCAAGCTAAACTTTCCTACAGATCTGCAAGAAAGTTTTCCTCTGTGAGACTTATTGAGAGATGAATAGGGTCATAATGGTGCTGTTCTATTTTGAACTCTGGGATGTTGGTAGATGGAGCGGGCAGAAGGGTGGTGTTTAGCTTTAGTACCATTGAAAGCTCAGCCTTGAAAGTTGCCATTTAATAGGAGTCATTGCTCTAAATTTTCTTCATGGGATGTGGCAGTTCTGGTAAGGCCTGTATCTGTTACACATCCCCAAGTTACCACGCAATGAGTAGTTTACTAGGCCAAGTCTGAGTCATCCACATTGCTGTTGATCTGGAGTCAAATATAGACCAGGCCAATTAAGGAGAGCAGATTTCCTTAAAGGATGTTCATGAGGCAGACTTTTCTGTGGCAATGACACTAGCTTTATGGTCCATTATCGAGACTAACTTTGTATTCCAGATTTAATTACATTTAAATGCCTTGGCAGGGTTTGAACAAATGGCGCAGGACATTTGCCTGGGGCCACGAATTACTAGTTGAATCAGGAAATTACCACAAGGCCAGCACCTCCCTCCCAACTAATAACGGTGTGAAAAGAATGAGCAGATTTCACTCTGAGCCCTTAATGTTCGTTGAAAGTGCTAAACTCTAAAGTTAGACACAGGGGAATGGCTGCGCAGGGAGTTCTCACGATATACGTGGAAAGGGCCTCCATGGATCCTTAGTATATGCAACAGCAGTGCATTTGGTGTTCAATTTCAAATAACATTAAAAATAGCAACACTAATGGATAAGGTAAAAAGAATTGCTTATGGAATACTGACATGCATGAGAAGAGTGTTAAATAAACATTAAAATCCCTCGTGGGCGTGCTCTCTCTCGTGTGTTTATGTGTAAGGCAATAGTTGGACAGTGCATGCTTTTGTGCTCTTAACTATAAGAAGGATCTTGAGACAATAGAAAAGGTACAATGCTAACTTATTGGGAAGTGATCTAGTATCAGGCATTACGAATAAAAAACTTAGAAATAGGTTTTGTTTTCATCAAACCGGAGAAAATGAAAAACTAATGATTTTTTTTCATGGGATGTAGGCGTTATTGCTGGCCTTGCAGTTTGTAATTCCTTTGAGAAGGTGATGGTGAGTCAGCAACTCAAACTTTTGATGAAGGTACATCCAAAATATCATTAGAACTCCTAGGATACTGATCAAACAATGATGAGAGAATCAAGTTGGTGTGTGATATGGAAGGGTACATGCAGTTGTTTATATTCTTTATTAGGTGTTTAGAATGGAATTAGACATCACTGTCTAGGCCAGCATCTATTGCTCATGATGCAGTGCGTGGGGGTGCAGGTACAGCCATGTAACTTGGAAAGGGAGCTCCAGGATCTTGAACCAGTGACAGTGGAGGATCGGTGGTATAATTCTGATGTTGTGTGGTTTGGAGGGAAGTATGCTGGTGGTGGTGTTCTCATGCATATGCAGCTGTCTATCATGTGGTAGATTACAGATGTCAAAGGTGCTGCCCAAGGAACTTTGAGTTGCTAGATTGTATATTGTAGATGTTACACACTACTGACATTTTTTGTTCTTTGGTGAATAGATTAAATGTTATAGGTGGTGAATAGGGTACCAAGCAAGTGGTTGCTTTGTCCTGGAAGTGTCAAGCATCTTGAATGCTGTTGGAGCTGTACTCATCTAGACAAACTGAGAGTATTCCATCACACTCCTGACTTATGCCTTGTAGTTGATGAACAGGCTTTGGGGAGTCAGGAGGTGAGTTACTTAGCATAGAATTCCCAGCAACTGACCTGCTGTCATAGCCACAGCATTCATATGGCTAGTCTAGTTCCATTTCTGGCCAATGGTAACTTCCAGGATGTTTATGGTTGGGCCTTGGAACTTAACCTGAGGAATTGAATTTTTTGTTTTTGTTTTGCAAAAGAGTATGCTGAAGAATTCTTACAGTAAAGGCTGAGATGATTGACCTTTAATGACCACAACTATTTCTTTTGTACTACGTATGACTCCGACCAGCAGAGAGTTCCCTGCCCACCCCCTCACCCCGATTCCAATTATGCAAGGACTCTTTGCTGCCATTCTCCATCAAGTGCTGCCTTGATACCAAGTTTAGACTCAAAGTCACCTCTGGAGTTGAGCTCTCTTGTCCATGTTTGGACCAAGGCTGTGCTATTAAGTCAGGAGCTGAGTAGCTGTGGTGGAACCAAAATTGGGCTTCCGTATGGAGATAATTGCTGAGCAAGTGCTGCTTGATAGCAATGTCAGTAGGCCTCCATCACTATTTTGAAAGTATAAGGCAATAATTGGCCAGTTTGGATTTATTGTAGTTATGTTGAAACAGCTTGGCTAGGAATGCAGCTAGACATGGAGCACATGTTTTCAATACTGTTGCTGGAACGTTGTCAGGGCGCATAGCTTTTGCGTTATCCAGTATACTCATCTGTTTCTTGACATCACATAGAGTGAATCAAATTGGTTGAAGACTGCCATCTGTGATGCTGCGGACCTCAGGAGTAGGCCTAGATGAATCATCCATTTGGCCCTTCTGGTGAAAGATAGAGGCAAATACTTCAGCACTTGGATCTCCCATAATTGACTGTGGAGATATCTATGGAGACCCATCCTCCAGTGAGTTTAATTTTCCACTATCATTTGCAACTGGTTGTGGCAGAAATGAAGAACTTAGGTCTTAGACCCTTTCCTTGTGAGATTGTTTAGCACTGTCTGTCACATGTTGATTCCACTGTTTGGCATGCAAGTAGTCCTATGTTGTAGCTTCATTAGGTTGATACCTCATATTTAGGCATGCCCTCCTGTGCTCTTCAATGAACGTGAGTTGATACCCTGTCTCAGTGGTAATGATTGAGTGGGAGAAAATATTGGTCTATGTTAGTTAGTAGAGGTTATATGTTTTGGAGGTGCTGTTGAATAATTGTTTGAGATGCTGCAATGCGCTAGTGGAGGGAATAAATGCTTAAAGTTATGGGATGTGTTGCTTATGCTACACTGAAGTCATACCAAACCAGTTCTAGATTGTGCAAACCTTCTTAAGTGTTGTTGGTGCTGTACTCAAATGGCGAGTATTGCTTCACACCTAATTTGTACCTTGTCGATAGATTTATGTTGACAGAGTTGGGTCACTCACCACAGAGTAATCCAGCATTTTTAACTGCTCTTTTAACCACAGGAGATATCCAAGCTGTTAACAGTGGGAAATTTGGTGGTAGTGTTGTTGAATATTGAGGAGAGATTGTTAGACTTTCTCCTGTTCCAGATAACCATCGACTGTAACTTGTTACAAGCCTAGGTAGGGAGGAAAGGCTGCATTACTTGAGAAAATACAAGTCGGATTAAATACTGTGCAATTTTTGGCAAAGATTCCCAGTTCTTACCTTTATAATGGAGAAAAGATAATTGAGAAAGCAAACGAGTATGATTACATCTCTGAACTACCTTGAGAAACGCCTACGAGGTTTTCAGGCTGACATTGTTGGCTTAAGAACCTACAACCATCTCCTTTCGTGTGGTCCCAGTGCGTGGGCTTTCATTTGCAGTTGTCACCAAAAGTTCCAAATGCAATGTTTACTCTTTGGTGTCAGGGTGAAGAACACAAGTGGAAAGGAAGAAACCGCAACCAAAAATCATGGTACATGCTTTATGTAATGAGATTCAGATGCATCTGAGGTCTTACCACGAGGCTTTAAGAAGGAAACAAAGCTTTGAAGTTGATCTCTGGATTGGTTTCAATGTCATGTTTTGACAGGTTAAGGACAGTAAGATTTACCAATTGGATGTGGGAATGTGGAGCTGGGACTGGAGGGAAGAGTTCATAGTTCTGTGGTATGCAAAGTTTGTAAACAGTCATGTTTTGAATTGTGACACTGTTGTTTTGTAGAGAGCAGAAGTAGAATAGTGGAGCAATTGAAATTAATATGAACATAAAGCACATTGCCAAATTGGGGATTGTACCAAAGACTGCTTCCTAGAACGGTATATTTCTCATCTAATAATGAATGAAGCATTGCTTGAGCTAATTCTGTTGCACAAAATGGGGCAAGGAAGATTTAAAATAATTTAAAAATAATGACCATGCCATTGAAAAAATTCTGCAAAATGAAAAAAATTGTGAAATGCAAAAACTAAAGTGCACATTCAAAAGCATAGCTCTGGATTTTTTTAAGAAAGGTAAATGAAACAAAAAGGGGTTGTACCCCACATGAACTGGGCAAATAGCTAGAGATTAGTAGAAAATTTTATGAACTGCACCATGTATAAAATAAATATATTCCTACAGAGTAAAACAGTGCAATAACAGGCAATTAAAAGGAGGTTGAGTCGTTTGGAGGTGAAGGGGAGATATGTGCCTTGTGATATGAAGATACTATGGAGAATATACTTTCTTCTTTACAAATGGTGTAACTAAGAATCTGGAACAATTGTTAGAAATAAATTTCAAAAAGGAACTGTTTCTTTTCAAAAAAATGTGCCCTTGGTGAATGGGCCATGGTTATATATGCTGAATGATTTTTAAAATTTGTTCTTGAGTTGTGAACAATGCTGGTAAAGTAATACCTACTGCCTGTGGCTAGTTGCTCCCAGAGCATCAAGTCATCCATGCAGCTGGAGTCACATTTTAGATCAAGACATGTTTTTTGTGGTGGGATGCTGTCTCTGAAAGACATTAATGAACTAACTCTGCACATTTCATAGCCAATTTTTATCTTTGTCGTACAATATACCAGTTTTATTAAATTCAGTTTCACATCTTGCCAAAGTCCAAATTGATCTGAGTTTTATTATGCATCATAACTGTGTTGAAAAGGAGTCAAACAGGAAAGGACAGAAGTTCTAATCACAATTTTCAATCTTTCTTGAATATTAAAATTATACATGGGACCAGTGACTAATCTCAGTTGCATGAAAATGCCTAGAACCCAATAATTTGAGATCACAATTATAAACATTTTATAAACAAAAGTAATGCACTTAAATCATGGAATTTCAGAAAGCACCCAATAATCACATTAAAAATTCAGGTGTGTGAAGTAAAAGGAAATGTACACCATGGATAAAGAGTTGTTTGGACACAAAACAAAGAAAATACATATATAATATATGTACAACTATGTAAATATACAATATACAACTTCAAAACCTGCTGATAAGATTTTAATCTAATGGTGAAGAGGGCTTGAAAGGATGTTTTCCAAATAAGCAGTTTAGTACTTTAGGAAGACAGGTGATTTTAACAGGGCTAAGGGTTTGACCATGAACGTACAGGTAAATAAAGCTGTTTAAAAAGACTTTGGGTGAATAGAGTACAAGTGTAAAATAAATAATAGATTTGTATAAAACATTGGGATTAACCCACTGTTAAGAGTTATGTGAGCAGTTTTGTGTGTTTCCTTAGGAAATACTTCAATATACAATACAAATTCAATGAGATGTTGTCAGACTATAAGGGACTGCTTTTGAGTGGACAAAGAAGGCTAACAGGAAATTTTAAGGCTTACCTTTTTAATTTTGATGGACTGAGTTGGGGAGAAGGCAAAAAAATACTCTGGTTTGAGAGTCAATGCCAAGGTGCTCTTAATTCGAAACTCTCACTCCAAAATAGATTCAGAAAAGTTCTTGGAATAGGAAATGTTTCACTGCATAATATTGCAGTGGCACTGACATTTGATAACATTTCCAGTGGTAGAACTGAAATAGGAGTTATGTTAAACATGTCTAGAACCTTTATTTTCGTTCACACATGATGTACTATGGCAGTCTAGTCTGCATTATAAACACAGTATAAAGGTACCGTGGAAAGTAGAAATATGGTTTAGTAGATTGATACAGCATGTCAAAGATACTGTACAATTACGATCAAGCTTGGATTGAGAAAAGAGAAGATGAAAATGGGTGACCTGGTGGGGTTCTCAGTAATAATAAAAAGGTTGACACAGAGAAAACATTCACACTTGTGGGCAAGATCAGAAGTCGGTGTCATTAGCATAACAATTACATGAATAAATTCCCCAAAATTCTTTACTCCGAGGTTAGGATTTGGAACAATTGAAGTGAATAATATTGGTGCTTTTTAGGTGACGCAAAACAATCACAGAGAGAAAGGAATCAAAGGATTGTTGATTGTGTTATATGATTGATTGATTGTTATATTTTGCATCTTAGACCATAAGACATAGGAGTAGAATTAGGTCATTCGGACCATTGAGTCTGTTCCACCATTCAATTGTGCCTGATATGTTTCTCAACCCCATTCTCCTGGCTTCTTCCGGTAACCCTTGATCCCCTCACTAATCAAGAATCTATCTATCCCTGTCTTAAATACACTCAATTTTATCCTCAAACAATTATGCAAATATTTTAAGGCAGAACAGAATATAAGTCAAAGGGGGAGCAGATCAATGGGAGCAGTTTTAGGTTTGTGGAAAATTGGTATCTCAGACACGATAAGCAGAATAGCCACCTTGTGCTGTACATTAGTACCAGTGTTTTTCTGGATCTTTATACTTGTTCACCAAGCAACCACTCACCCTGCTGATTTTGTGGGTCAAGGAGGTTGGCCTCCAATAGACGGCCTTGAGTGATGAGTAGATTCATGTGGAATTCACCACCCAATTTTGTTTATGTCATGATATTGTTCTTAATTATTCAAGTCCTGCTGTACTTGCACTTGTAATTATTATTCACCTAATTATAATGCAGGAAAATGGCTGTAAATTAGGAGAGTGGAATGCACAGTGGGACCTGGGTGTCCTTGTGCACCAGTCACTGAAAGTAAACATGCCGGTGCAGCAGGCAGTGAAGAAGGCAAATGGTATGTTGGCTTTCATTGCGAGAGGTTTCGAGTACAGGAGCAGGGATGTGTTGTTGCGTTGCAATGTTACAGGGCCCTGGTGAAGCCGCACCTAGAATATTGTGTGCAGCTTTGATCTCCTTTTCTGAGGAAGGATGCTCCTGCTCTCGAGGGAGTGCAACAAAGGTTTAACAGGCTGATTCCAGGGATGGCGGGTCTGACATACGAGGAGGGATTGATTAGGTTAGGATTGTTTTCGCGAGAGTTCAGACGAATGAGGGGGGATCCTATAGAGACTTCTAAAATTCTAACAGGACTGGACAGGGTAGATGCAGGGAGGATGTTCCCAGTGGTGGGTGTGTCCAGAACCAGGGGTCACACTATGAGGATTTGGTGTAGACGATTTAGGACGGAGATGAGGAGACATTTCTTCACCCAAAGAGTGGTGAACCTGTGGAATTCAATACATTTGAGTGTATTTGAGAAGCGACTAGATATAGCACTTGGGGCGAATGGGATCAAAGGTTATGGGGTGAAAACAGGATTAGGCTATTGAGTTGGACGATCGACCATGATCATGATGAATGGCAGAGCAGGCTTGAAGGGCCAAATGGCCCCCTCCTGTTCCTATCTTCTATGTTTCTAAATAGTCAGCATATTGGGCAACATCTGTGGAGAGAAAAGAGTTAACATTTCAGATCAATTCATTGTCCCTTAGGGGAACTGTTTTAGTGTTCTCTACCTTTGCTGTCCATTTCAATGTGAATTAGACTCATATAGCCTGGTTTCTGTCACCCAAGGCATGTGCCTACACTTGTATTGCCAAAGTTAGTTAAACACCTACACCAAAAATTGAGACAAAATGCACTCTTTATTTTAAAGTATTACATACTAGCTAGGCTTCAAGCAAATAAATGAATCACAATTATTTGCAGCTTTGGTATGATATTTTGAATAACATTTTAACAGAATGTTTATTTAATAGTGTAGATTGACAGTCCTGATACTTATCTTAAATGACCAAGCTTAACTGCCACATTCTAACTTGCACACAGGGTTTTGCTTGAAATTTCACGTCGTAAATCATTCATTTGACAGCTGATCACTGCTCTGGATCCTGTTTCTTTGCATATAGGTTCCAATTGCTTGCCGAATCAGATGTTCTGTTGTGATAGATTTGTTCCATTATGTCTGTGACATTGAGTTTGTATTCCAGTGTTCACCCACCTGTTTAAATACTTTTCAGTGTATTAAAGAGATTAAGTTACAACCAAGGCTCCAAAGAGCTGAAGATTATTCAGTTACTAATTAATTGTTTATGGTCTTATTAGGAAGATTGGTCATGCCTTCAGAGCCCAATGTTTAACCTTGTGTAGATGTTATACTTGTTTTCTGTTACTATTATAACAAGTGTTATGTTGTACTTTGGCCTGACAGCTGCAGTTTCAGAATGGAGGTGGACCTCAGTGGTATCTCCAGGGCAGCCATGCCTGTTCTCTCTGCACCTGCTGTAGAAGTGAAATCTCTGGGTAAAACAGAGCCTGAGAAGCCTCGCAGTTCCAGCACGCCATGCTCTCCAGTAAAGCAGATTGTGCCTAGCTATCAGATTCTTCACATGGACACTAACTACTTGGTTGGCTTTACTACCGGAGGTGAGCTTTTAAAATTGGCTCAAAGGTGGTCAGGCAATGAGCCAGGTGCAGCAGAAACTTTGCCTAGTCAACATACTAAGCAACATGATGTGGGATTGTCTAGAAGCTCTGGCATCTACAGAACAAAGAATCGATATTATCAACCATATGAGATCCCAGCTGCAAATGGTAGAAGACGGCGGCGAATGCCTAGTTCAGGGGAACAAACAATCAAGTCACTGTCTTTTGAATCCAGCAAATGTCTACGTGGACCTTTGCCAGTTTGCCTCATCAAAGGAAAGAGGGCCCCGTCAAAATCCTTGGATTACCTAAATCTAGATAAAATGAATATTAAGGAACCAGCGGACACAGAGGTACTGCAGTACCAGTTACAACATCTCACACTTCGAGGGGAACGTGTGTTCAGCAGAAATAAAACTTGAAAAGAAAATTAATTGCTTTATTCAAGATGCACAAAGAACAACACTGGGCTTATGGAAGTCAGTGTGATACTTGCCCGAATTTCATTGTGACTGAGGGGAGTGGATGAACTAGACAACTTGACAGGAGGTAGTTAACTTCCTTGATGGAATATTGATTCTATACAAATTGTACCGGGCCACAAAATCAGTTCTCCTTCTGATAGGATTATTATGGGTTAGATAGTGTCTATGGAATATGTTACATCCCAGAAAGATTAGAAACAATGTACTTCAACATTACTGGTAAATGGCTGAAATGGTCACCTTTTGTTAGGACTGGGGTAATATGAAATAGCTGAAAAATTGCTAACTATTATTTTGTAGCAATAATAATCTATTGTGAAAAGTCATCTTCAGTTTAACCTTTTCTACATTTTGTTATTTAGATTTGAAGTAATAACTGCATAAGCATCTATTATTGGAAGGCAGTTGAAATTGGATCTAAATAGATAAACAGCTGCTTAGGTCCTATCTAATAATAAAGGTTAATTTGAAATGGCTATATTTTGCAGTTATGGGGTTCAATTTATTGTCTGCAGCTTAAACTGATAAATATTTGATCTGTATTAGGAGGCAACTACTTGCAGAGTAGTAGTTTTCCTGTCCATTTGCACTGGTACGTTAACAGGAACTGGAGTTCTGAGGAAGGGTCACTGGACCCGAAACGTTAACTCTGATTTCTCTCCACAGATGCTGCCAGACCTGCTGAGGTTTTCCAGCAATTTCTGTTTTTGGAGCTGTTGTTTGACTGGGAATGTTTTCAGTACAAAAGTAATGAACTTCTGACGTGATAAATGATAAACTCCATTACAGCCAGCCTTTTAACCCATCCCTATGTTATTCTAGTTCTTTGTGAGCTTGTTACTTTTCTACAATAGAAGAAGACAAACTGCATAAGTTGGTTTGAAAACAAGGAACCCTCACAGTTCTTTCTCAAATGATCAGTTTGGATCTGCATTCATGTGAATCAATGATTAAAGTCATGAGATGCAACTTAAAAATTAAAATGGCCTCCTTTTGTAATATTTTAGTAGTAATTTCATAAAATTTTTCTCCTTATTTGCATTGCACAACTCAAGCAACTTAATAAAGTGCTGAACACAGTATAGAATTTCTCAGTGTCCTTTGATACTAATTTACAATGCTACAGCAAGCTTTCGAATATATCAAAAATATTCATAAAGCTGAAGATTTTAATTTAACTCTTTCCAACTTAGTCATGTCACAATTTTCCATTATTCCTCAATGTATAGAGCACTAAATGTTGGTTCTCTCGCTTACTAAACTGACGCTGATCAAACTTTTGGAACTTATGCCTGATCTATCTTCAGGACTACACAGGTGCCTAATCTTTAAAAGCCTGCTTATATTGAATTTGGTTGTGAATTTACAAAATGAATGATGTGAGAGGGGGGTCTTTTACATTTGCTAGAAACTGGTCAGCAACCCGCTAGAAGCTACTGATATAATTTTAGAAATTAGATTCAGATCGTACTCTTAGACATAGGATAATGTTACACAATTAACTCACTGGGATTAATTGACCCCTTCAATTTTCCAATCTGACCTTGTGTTTTGGGAAAAGGGAGTTTAGAAGATTCCTGAACTAAAATTACATTAATATAACTTTGCAATCCTTTCTTTGTTATTAAGTTTTGTTTTTGAAATCTGACGACAGATTTAAACTTGGCCAATAGTCCATTAAAGATTAGAGGTTTATCATTTGTCTGTTACCTAGAGATTGCATTGTTTAGCCAATTTTGCAGAAGTCTGACTTTCTCCTGTCAGCTTTTTTGCCAATACACGTAGCTTTTCTTTCAAACTACCTGGTACAAATAGGCTGGTCTGCAGTGATTTAGCATTAAGATATAATGTTGGCCACTGGAAGTTGAAATACACCATATTTTAGATGATTGATTAAACCATTCTGGAGTCTCTCTTTAATATTTTGACTCCAATGCTGTCTTCTCGAGTTCTAGATGTGATTCTTTGAAACGCAGGGTTGGCATAACAAGAGCTTATGGTAGAAACATCTGACCTGCTTTTGCGTCCTAATAAAATGTCTCCAGTTTTGTTGGGAGGAGGATGGGTGCAATTTATTAGGACGCCTGCCCTTACAGCAAATAGTGTGGCTAAAAATGGAAAAACCAGTTCTAATCTTTTTTTAAAGTTCCTTTTTAATGATTAGATTTACAGCAGTTACAGTGTCATAATAAAATTCAGTCAAATGGATGATTAAAACAAATAATGGAAATTAAATATAGTCAGCAATTACGGACATTTTCAAATTTCAGTTCTGAATTTTTAAGTAATTCTAATAACCTGCAATGTTAATCTCATTCTGTGTTCTATTATATTTTGGCATTTATTGTTCTGAAGCAGGAATTGTTCTGAAACTATGAAAAGCACCCTAGTCACATGATGAAAGAATTCCTTTTCTAGTTTGTATCTAATTTAAATAAAGCAATATGAAGAGATCAATATAACTTATTTTCTGTTTCCAGGCCCCTGTCCCACACGTAAGAATATTACTTATGTTGCAAACACAGCTTTGAGTTATTCTGTGGCAGGAATAATATTTTTCTTTGTGTATAGAATAATTTGTATTGAGTTCTGTACTTACTGGCAATATGACGAAATAAGGAAGAATTTGTAGACAAATACTGTGGCATTAAAGATAAATACAGTGCCTCTGCGATAGAAGTGTCTGCTCAAATGTAGCATTAGCACAACAAAGTTGACTTTCTCAAAACGCCTCTTAACTTTACAAAAGTGTCAGGTTGTGTTCTGTCCTGTGGAGAGCATGTCACAGTTTTTAAAATCTTTTATGAAGGCAGGTAACTGCTTTATTTTCCTGTATGATTGAAAACCTTGATAATGGACAGTCAAAATTCAAATAGTTTTGCTTTAAATGAGCCATTTGGAATCCATTCCTAACCATTATGATCTGCATGTTTACTAACATCTAGTATTGAGCTGGACCAAAAATTTAATCTGCATTGTGACTTAAGCTTATGTCCTATTATCTCCTAAACCTAAGTCTTGAATAGCTTTTAATATTCAGTGACAAAGCAATATTAAACAAATGTTCAGTGTTGGTACTGAATGTAAGTACCTGTACCAAATAAGTACTTGCATTCAAAGTTGCTATAATCATCCTAAAATTGATTTCCAGAATTTGCTTGTAAGATATTAATTGAAGGCTTTTTGATGCTACTAAAGCCATTCAGTTGAAGAATGAGACACTGTTACATTGCAGCAGCTGGTGATAAATTTAGAAGTCTGAACAGCTACTGTAATTTTTTTAAACACAAAACTGTGACTCATAACTCAGTTGCAAGTCTGAGATAGCAGGAACTGCAGATGCAGGAGAATCTGAGATAACAAGGTGTAGAGCTGGATGAACACAGCAGGCCAAGCAGCATCAGAGGAGCAGGAAGGCTGACGTTTCGGGCCTAGACCCTTCTTCAGAAATGGGAGAGGGGAAGGGGGTTCTGAAATAGATAGGGAGAGAGGGGGAGGCGGATCTTCAGATTTCTGAAGAAGGGTCTGGGCCCGAAACATCAGCTTTCCTGCTCCTCTGATGCTGCTTGGCCTGCTGTGTTCATCCAGCTCTACACCTTGTTATCTGCAAGTCTGAGATGTCAGCTTTCCCCCAGCACCGGCATAAAGATATATGTACGACCAGATTCTATTGGCGTTGATTTTAAAAAAGAATTTGGATCATCCATTTTAAATGGAGGTCACCAATATAATGGGATCACCAATGCCACACTAAGTGTGCTTGATCAGACATGTCACATTGCAAGTAAATAAAAATAACAAAAGGAACACCAGCTACATGAAACTTGAGCAATGTTTAGAACACTGTGGTATTGAGCTGAATAACTAGCTTCATGTGGAGTTGAATTAATAATCATGATGCCTGAATTGTCCAACTTCCAATAGATATTACTATTTGTATTATCAATGTGATTTAAGCTGCCTTGGGGAATACGTCGACCATAGAGTAAGGCAAGATCTCTTTGGGCAGCTAGTAATGTAACTAAATACTTTTGAGTTGTCCAATCTTGAAAGCCTCTTTTGGGGGAGTTATAAACATTTATAGTTGAACTCAAATTAAGTGGGATTTAATGGCAACGTCAGGACAGGTGTTAGATTGCTCAGGACGTTCTACTCAGAGTTTAATAACATATTTATAATTCACTGTATGAACTTGGAACGATTATGGATTTTTTCCTTGAATGCATTTGAATGATTGCATAAGTATAAAGCTGTAACATTGCGATGTGCTGTGTCAGTCACATGTTTCTTAATAAAATTAGACAATGTTTACTCTTTGATTTCTGAATATTCTTGACAGGTAAACTTGCAGTTTTTGAAACTTTCTTAAAATTACCCTTTGCAAAAAGAAAGCTGAAATGTTAAATTTTAGGTGGAGAAAAAAGGGATATCTTTATTTGTGTAAAGTTAATGTTCTTTTTGTCCTAATCTGCATCATGACCTGCTTTTTATTTTCTGTAGCCTACTGGATCTCAGTTAAGCTATAATGCATATTTATAGCTTTGTGTTTGAACAGATGCCTTTATGATTGACCACATGCCTTGCTGTAATGAAAGATTCAATCACACTGTGGAGCTTTGTTTGTGTTTGCCAAATCTGCCAACAATTAAACCTGTAAAAGTGTCTTATGAAAGGAGAGTGTCGCTACTGTTTGCGAATATAAACGTTTTGCATCTTCTCCACTCCTCCCTCAACTTTCCATTTGTAGTTTTGTTTTGATTCGAATAACACACATTGAATCTTCTATTTTTGCTCCTGACCCATGTGGATATTTTGATTATGCTTTAACAAACTAGGAAATAAATTAATATTCAGTAAATTCAAATTTGCATACTTCCAAAAATATTTTCTAACCTGCCTCTGGAAATCTTGTTTCTGTTAATCCAATAAACTACTGCATAGAAATACACTGAAAAATAATCCTGTCCTCCAATTTACTTTTGCTTATTACTTACTGCCTGTGTGTGCTTGTAAGTGTTTAGCGGGAAATTGATCCCTTGAAGGCAGCATTTGCATCACAACCTGGTCTGTAACAGAGTTGTGTGGAAACAAGCTTCTCTACCAGCATAAAACACAATGGTACAATTTAAGAATATATCTTGCTTTAACTCTAAGTGCACATTTCACTCCAAACTCTGCACTGGATTACATATACTGCTTATCACTTCTGGATAGATATGGGTTTATTTGAAGTTACCCTTTTATAGAAAAGTCTGGAACTTTCTGTACATCCTCTGTGATACTTTTATGAATAAAGACTCAGCAAAGAATTCCATCTGAACTGACTGATGGCTACATAGAGAAATTGAACCATTTTGACTTTAATTAGTGGAATAGGAACAATGTGCTTGATTGTTAATACATTCATGTTAGCATCAGTTCCGATTTATAATAGTGACACTGTCCTTCAATGCAAGTGAACTTGTAATCATAGATGCCCATTATTCCAGGAAGGGTTTGGATACTTATTGTGTTTTTAAATACATAATTTTGTATTGAGTTTAATATATTGTATATAATCTTTTAGCACATTATGGATGAACTAAATAATATAACCCTGCATATAATCAACAATAAAGGTAATTTCCAAAATAAGTTGAGCCTGTCTTGTGTCATCTTTTAGTCAGTTGTCACAGTGATTGTGATGTGGAGTGAGTGATGCTTGATGAGCATCTAAAAAGTTTGAGATGTCTTCACAGAAGTTTCACATGACTGTCCTCATATGTAATGCAGTATATATGGTACCCAAAGTATGCAGTGCTGAATGGAGAAACTTGATATTGAAAGTAAGGTAATCTATATGTGTTTTTAAATACAGATGAGACAATGGGTATAAGTAATTATCCAGAGCATCAATTTGGCAACGGTTGGTGGAAGGGGAGAAAGCAAAAACATTAACTGCAGGTAATTTAGTTTACAGACTATATTGGGAGGTTCCCTTCA